ACAACTTCAGAAGTGGTGCATTGTGCATTTGCAGAAAATCTGTTAAATAGCAAATAAACTGAAATAGACTCTTTACAACATTTCATTTTAATGAACTGAAATATTAATAAAGTGTTCAAATTGAGTGTCATTTACAAAACACATTCACAGAAACAAAGGGGAAGTGATTCACACACTAACCAGGGTACATTTTACTGATCTCTTTAATGAAGTCCTCATCAAAGCCTGCAATAATAGCACCTCCAACAGGAACCATGAAATTTTTGTCCAAGCTTTGAACAAAGGCATCAATTCTGCCCACTCGTGCACCCTGTAAATACACTCTATTAGCTCACATGTCTGAACAGCTTAACCCAAGCAAGACAACAGCAAAATGTTATAGTTAGAGAAGCATGTGCGCTTTACCTGTTGTATGAGGTGCATGCATTTAGACGACTGCACTCCATAGGCATTGTTGACTATATGAGGGATGTTATATTTGGCACACATAACAGCGAGCTCTTCCAACCTGTACAATAAGAGGCATTAAAGTGATCTGCATGTCTATTATGTATTTATCTCAATTCTAGACAGGTTATTTCTTAAAACGTATATATATATAGGGCGCCCAACTGGCATCACAGAAAAGCATTCGCTATCCAGAGTATCATCTGGAGATCACAAGATAATGCCACAGCCATCCATGGCCGGGAGTCCAAGAACGCAAAATTGGAGATGTTCTCAGGGAGGGTGGGGTGGACACTAGCCAATCATGGGCATCTGTGAGCTCATGCATTCGGAAGTGGGCGGATAGCACTTTCCCCTGAGTGTATTACGCCACCCCCTGATGGTGCATGAGTTCAAAAGGATGCGGTCGGCTGGCTTCACGTGCCTCAGAGGAAGCACGTGATAGTCTTTGCCCTTCATGGTTTGTAACCTTAAGTATAGCTGTTTGCAAAACTTTTCATTATGTGTGCCTTTTCTTTCCATTCCATTTAAGGTTTTTCCAATTATATGTCCTCAAGTTGTAAGAAATACTATGTGTGAGACAGGCCGTAACTGGCCAGTTGACCTGCCTGTCAGGGACGCGAGGAGCAAAACAGGAAGTAGTGGAATGAACACAGAGGATATTCTCAGCTCCAAGTTCCTCGATCTTCTTCTCCACAGCCTCCAGGTCTGTCCTCAACTCATCTCCTTCCAGAACATTCTCAATGACCACTGGCTCAAACCCTGCTCATATTTAGACCAGATAATACAGGTATTTCATATCTTATTTGACATAAAATCAATATTCTGTTGTGTTTATAGGCATTTCTCCACCATAACTGAACAACGCTGACTATGCAGAGAAGCTTTTTGTGCACAATATCAATAAAAAATAAAAATCAGTCATAAAGGAGTTTCTAAATATGGCAGGAAGTAGCTAACTCAACTTGTCTATCTGTAAATAAACTACAATTTTGAATGGACTGTCTGATTGGCTTTTCTTTAATGAATTAGTTTAATTTTTTTTTATGTTATACTCCAGATGTCAGTGTCATACCAGCAGTGACCATGGATTTGATACAGGACTTCTGGTCAATGCGAGGCCAAAGAATGTAGCGTGCTGACGGCCTCCTGTGTCGAAGTGTCAGGAAGCACAACGTCAAGCTCATTCCAGTTGCCATGGGCACCACAAAGCATGATGACACACTTCTAACACCTGTGTGAAGAAAACAGCTCCATCCAATAAATCCAATAACACAAGAAAGCAAATTTCTCTATGTGTTCAAGTAATCATGTGACATTCACCGCTGAATCTGAGAACATCCAGCACTACTGAATTGGTGATCTTGTTGAGGAGACTGGAGCCAGCGGCCTTCGGCTGAACAGCAGCGATATCACCAGAGCGGCCGATGCCATGGATCAATCTAAGACAGAGATGCGAATATGAGCTTCCTCTAAGTTTGTAGCATGAATGGAGCTTTACATTATTCTGCAACATTTTTCTAGTCCTTTGTTGTGGAACACAGTAATAGAGTTATAATTTGATGACTTGCTATTGTCCTGTAAACTACTTGTGTGTATTACAGTAATAAGGTGTATATATTTAAGGCAAGACACTACAGGTAGAAATGCAGATTTTGATCACACCATTTTTTTCCAGATTTTTGGATATATATTGTATATCTCACGTCTACAACATATCTTCACTTAAACTGTAATAAAAATACTTTGCAGATCTATGTTTATTTCACTGTTTTTGCCCCTCGAGCCTACTGCATTATGTGTAAATGAGCGACTTTAGAAAGTTTAGCTCCTCCCCACATAGCACTCATCATGTCATTATCCTTGAAAAGCTTGTTTCCTGCTATATACAGCAGGTGATAAGGAAAAAGAAAATGTGCTGGCATGGTTCTGTTGTGTGAGAAACATTTTACTGGCATGGTTAGAGTCCACTTGTCCACGTGATCACCTTTTATCCTTTAACACCTTTGTCCACATCCACATGGCATGAATGGTTTGAAGAGTATGAAAACGATGTAAAGCATATGCTATGACATACAGTGGTAGAGGGAGCTCTCTACCACCATCATGAAAAAAACAACTGAGGGAATTTCTTTCGAAAGAACGGTGTTCATCCCTCTACTACAGTTCCAGAAATGTGTAGAATCTGTGCTAAAGTGCACTAAAGCTGTTCTGATAGCTCATTTTGGCCCAACGCCTTCTTACTAAGACAATTTATGTTTTTTCCTTTAATTTGTCCCCTGGATGTATGTAAATTTATGTCATCATTACATGTCCATTTTCTTTATAAACTGTATAAACCACACTTACTAGAGTGGAAACAAATAAATTTCTGAAAATCTTTTTTTTATTATATCCAGAATAAAAATTATCAGTTTCTAGAACAATGATCCAAAGACTAGATTCCTGTTTTACTAAGGAAGCAAATGCATTCATTTTTAATTACATGAAGCCCCAAAATAAAATGTACTTGTATATACTTGATTGACTACTGGCAATCAAGTGGCAAAGATTAATTGTGGTATATATAGTTTTAAAAAATTACCCTGTTCACTTCTTGTGGCTTGCCTTAAGCTATTTGTGTCAGGCCTTACCTTTGCCATTTTTACAGTCTAAAAGATAGACAGAAATTTTATTTACTTGCTGATATTTGGCTGCTCTTCTTGAAGTATATGTGCATTTTTACCCTTCTGTTATGCTTATATTATGGAAGTGGCATAAAAACACAGTTTGTTTGACTTTGTACGACAATTAATTGTCAGTCAAAATGTAATATTTGTGACGGGTGTATCCAGGTGTGATACATTATTTTTCCCCACTGAGCTCATAAATTATCAATTGTATGTTATATATTTCTGTTCATTGTTACTCAAGACAGTGGGAAACACACATAGCTCTTGGATTGACACTGAATGCATGGCGACTGGTTTGCTACAAACCCCCTGAACTTCTAATGCAATAAGTAATATTTCCATTCCTGCTCATTTTACACAAAACTGTTCTTTTGCTCACCAGGCCAACACTTCTAACAATGTAACTCAAACAAATCATGTAAGTTACCTGTAATGTCTTCGGGCCACCAGGTCAGAGGCGACTCTGCCTTCTCTCTCTCCAACTCCACAGTTCCCCAAGAAATTATTACTGTCCATGACTGCGAGCTCATTCAGAAAGAGCTCTATAGTGCTTTCGCTCCATCCCTCCTCTGGACATTTGCCCTGGGAAGACAGGGAAACATCTCACAAATAGCACTTTACCTATTTAGAAGAAAGCGAGTGTTAAGTAATAAGGTACAATCATACTGTAGAGTCGAAGCACTGCAATTACAGTAGTCTACAGTGACAGATGAGCATGATATTAACTGGGAGGGCTAAAATCTAAATCTATCAATAGCTCAACAATAAACTATTACACACGCACTCATACGTAAGGGCAGATAGGCAGCTGTATTCATGATTTGTAATTTTTCAGTAATGCCTGAATGACGTACTGGGTTCATGTCATGTTTCCTCCAAATTTCAAACATAGCAATCAGAAAAACTCTAACCCTTTTGTTCAAACAAACAAATAAACAAACAAAAAAAGGCTACTTTTATGGTCCTGTCGTTTGTCCTTTTGTGTACTTTGAACACTGATTGGACAATATATGCTTAGTCTATCTACTTTTAGCTCCTTATCCAAAGGCATTTTGTGAAAAAAGGATGACAGAGTAAATAATCCACCTTGTTCACGTTTATTACACCCATGACTGTATTTCACATGTGCTTTCTCAGTCACTGCTCATGACATTTAACTGATGTGTGGAAAAATATCAGACCAAATGGAGATCAAATCTAGGGTGGGTTTCACTCTGTGTACTCACCTGACATGACTGTCACTGATAGGCTGCATGAATCTACAGTCTGGGCTGGAAAGAAATCAGCCCCTTTCTTCTTCATACCATTCTGTATATTTTTCAATTCATTCTGTATATATTACAGCCACTGGTGGTGCTGTTGTGCTCGGTCCCAAAAAAATTCAAAATAAACCCCTTTAAGACATTTGTTAACAGCAAATAATCTGATTCCAAAAATGAAACATTATATTTATGTTTTTATCTTTGCAAGTCAGGGGTGGGCTTAGCCCTGCTAGGCCACTTGTACCAGCCACCCCACTGGTCTATGTAAAAAACAGTAACAGGACAGGATGAAGGCGCAAATGATTCTAAGGCTTAAAGCAAAACAGGGTAGTACCAAATACTATGAAACTCTGAAATTCATGTAAATATTTCAAAGATTCCACTTTTCACTCAAGTTGTCATCAATAACCCATTCATTCCATATTGCTTATCCTACACAAGGCTGCAGGGATCCTGGAGCCTATGTCAGGGGACACCCAGGACAGGTGCCAACCCATCACCGGGCAAAGTCACACACTTGAACAATTTGGAAATGCCAGTCAGCCTACAATACATGTCTTTGGACGGGGGGAGGAAGCTAGAGTACCTGGAGAGAGAGCCTTTGAGGATCAGGGAGAATGGGCACAGGTGAGATTCGAACCCACAGCCTTGGAGGTGCGGGTCAGGCGTGCTAACCCCTAAGCCACCTTGCCCCACTTTCTATAACGGTGCCGTCTAACATCTTTAAACGTGAAGTACTGGATCTCGTGGTTGACGTGTTCAGTACAGGGTTATGAGAAGTGTACCTGCTCTAGCAGAGTCCTGATGAGTTGCTCATGACTGCGCCGAGCCTGCACACCCTGCCGCACATAGGAAGCGGCCACCAGCTTCTCACTCAGGCTGAAGTTTTCCTCATTCATTCCTGCAGCTCTGTAACACACTGACACCCACCTGAACCGCAGCAGTCTGCGCCTTTGTGAACCAGTCACTGTTAGATACTGCTGCTGTCTTCTTTAACTAGCTAGCTATTTCTAGCCTGCACTATGGCTGAAATTTCTCCCACCTTTATCTGCTAACCTATAACGTGCTTCCGAGCACTAATTCAGCATTTCTACACTTTAGCCAGTGAACTTACGAAACCCTGGCTAAAAATGTCTCAGAAAATCATTAGTCAGCATGGGTAAATCCTAAGTGCTACTCATTTGGCTATGTAATGCACTAGGTATGGTGTATAACCCATTATTTCACACCCTAGACAGGGCACTTATCTAGGGAATAGGAGCCGCTTTGGGTTCCAGCCCAAGACAACCGCTATACACTTCCTGTTTATGCGTCTCTTAGACTCCGCCCGCCGACGGATCCTCACTTCACAGTTTCAAAATAAAAGTCCTGTCTGCTTCTGTTGTGTTGGAGGCTTTACGTTTGTTTCTAGATTTTAGTTACAGTATAAATTTAAACACTACAACCATAAGCCATCTGAAAAAGAAAGATTTTTATTTGAGTAGATCATGATCATGAGACACTGAGGGGCATGACATCCGAACAGTCAAGATAAGAGAAACGGTATTGCTGTTTCTATCCATAATTATTTCTTGAATATAAAATTCCTTTTGAAATGGTAAACACCTGTTAAACTCCTCAGTGCAGCATATATTGTACATCCTCATCTTTATTGTGATATTAAAAATTTATATGACTGGTAGCTTCCAGAGGAATTTAGAAACCATGAAGAGGTATACAGCAAAGCTGTATTATGATGATGTAGAGCGTTTTCAGTCATAACCTCTAGATTCCATGTTTCTCTAAAACAGCATGCTTTAAATTAACTATAGTAAAGTGCATGGCTACTGTATGGCTCACACAACTATTTCATCACCAACAAAGCAAAAAAAAAGTATACACATACATCTGGTTTGGAATGATGGCCAAGCTTCATTAAACAGACTTATATAAGCATCACAGTGTACTATAGGCACTTACAGGAATCTCACACACTGTTAGATCATTTGGTTAGCATACAAATATAATCAATAAACTGAAATATAATGATTTATACAAAATTATATGGATAGATTTCTCATCAACAGTAAATGTCTGCATTTTAGTGACCAGTAAATTAGTCAGAAACACTAGTTGCCTTTTTGTTGTGTTGTATTACTTGATAGCTGAGAAGGCTGGAAGGCAAAGATGGGCCACAGAATGTAAAGATCAAAGCTGGTGAGTATCACAGCATTATCATTTCAGTTAGTTTGAATAGACAAAGATTTTATATAGCAAGAAAAAGATTTTACCATAAGGACACAGTGAGTTATGTTTGTTTAGCGTCTTCGTGATAGATAATATTTTCCTTGTAAAAATAACATTACAGCTATTGTCAAATCATAATTTTAAATTAATGCAATGACTGTGAGAGACACAGTGAAGGTTATTGTTTGGCAATACTGAGGTAGGACTAGAAACCGGATCACTGGGGGATCTGCACACACCTGCAGCCAGTGCCTGTAGTTATTAAATCAAATTCTCTCCATTTCTGATTCACCTCTTATGATCATCATGAGGAGCTAGAACATTATTAAATTCTTATTAAGGATTAGGGACCATATGCAGTGATGATAAAAGTACTAGCCAGATGTCATTTGACCTTCACAGATACAGTGATAACAACTACGACTGCCAGCTTTAAATACCAACCTCTAATACTTTCATATAGTGTATTCTAAGCTGATGTGTTGTATATGCAGTACAGCCATGTTAATTCATAAACAAAAACATTTAAATTCATTTCTGACTCACAAAAAAATGACTTATTCCTAAACAAGGCCAAAGTGTAAAGGTTTGCACATCCAAAACAAGAGACAGATGAAAAAAATGACTATGCTTGTGCACTGTCAGCTGCACTGGAGGGAGAGGAGACAACCTCTACTTTTCTGTCATCTTGCGGATCATGTAATTCAGGATGCCGCCGTGGTGGAAGTAGGTAAGCTCCACATCAGTGTCGAACCGCATCCTAGCCTGGAACGTCTTTCCATTGTCCAACTGCAGAGAGCGCCATGAAAGCAAAGAGAAAAGATGTGGCATTAATTTGAATCTAGGGTATTGTTTTTGATTTATTAACATATACGGAGTATTTCCATTTATGACGTGTTTTAGTTCAATCGAGGACAGAACCCTGTGTGTGTTTATATGCTTAGAAGAAGTAGCAGCTGCATCTACCGTTAGTAGAAAATATGTCAGTTGTAGACTATTAAACTTTAGCAGCCTGTATTTGGAAATGCATGTACGTCTGTCCATGAACTGACATAACTCTGAACTTTGATACTTTGCAAGAGAGAGAGAGAGAGAGAGAGAGAGGGAGGGAGAAATAGAGTCAGAGTGAGCACTCATATCTTTTTGCATTCTATCTAGACCTTGAGCCATGTGTATGTAGCTTGCAGGAAATTTACATAAGAAATATTGAAAGAGAATCTTCTGTATAATTAAGCTCATATAAATAGCAGCCTTTAGACATCTCTCTGTTCTTTGGAGTCAGCTGCACACAGCACCTCTCCCCTCAATCGACTGAGCAGCACCTCTGATATTTTTTTATGTGAATTATTAGCCTTGATGAAATAAAGGTGATCTGAATTCTGAGCTGAGCACTCTCTCTTTATTTATTATCATATTTATTTAGTTAATGCAGTTACTGTGTAGCAAACAGAACAGAGGAAGCGTAATTGCATTGCAAAATTTCAATAAGGAAGTGATTCATTAAAGCCACCCTGCTTAAAAATAATTGCTGCCACTTATTCTGATGCACAGAGTAAAATAGAGCAGCAAAAATAACGTATAAGCAAAATGTACCTTAATATCAACAATCATTCTGGGTGTGAGCTGTTCAGGGATGACCACAGTGTAGCGCTCTCGGCCAGTGAGCCCCAGGCTTTCAGCCGTTTCTCCAGACAGATACTCCAGAGGAATGATCCCCATACCCACCAGGTTACTGCGGTGGATGCGCTCGTAGCTCTCTGCCAGTACAGCTTTGATACCCTGAGAGCATCAAAAGACAACTGTATAAGGACAACTTAACTCCCAGAAAGAAATGCAGACAATTCTTCACATATTATTCCTCTTCTAATCATTGATTCATTGCTGAAAGAAAACAGAGGTATGACCTCATGGTCGTTAACATTAGGTAAAACGTGTACATGACTCTCACCAGCAGGAACGGTCCTTTGGCAGCCCAGTCTCTGGAGCTGCCTGAACCATACTCCTTCCCAGCCAGCACCAGCAGTGCGTAACCTGCCTCCTGGTACTTCTCTGCAGCATCATACACATCCAGCTGCGGGAAGGAACATCATTTAAAGGAGCAGTTTGTAAATTTTTGAGCTTGTTGCTACATAGTAGACAAACTGCAATTACACTGAGAACATCAAATCCCAAACCACTCCTCTTCCTCTGTCAAAACTATATATGACTTTTGAGCTGCCTGTTATTTTTTTCAGGTCAGAAAAATATAAAAAGAGACAGAAGAGATTTTTAAAATTAAATGATTATAGATCAAAATTATCAGGGCTATATAATAACTATAGGTACATCATGGGACAATTGAGTGCATGTAGAGGAATAAGCCCACTACTCAACTGTATGCAATCAAAGAAATACCTAGAAGTGACTAAACACAATATAAATGAATATGGAGAGAGGGAGAGGGAGAGGGAGAGAGAAAGAGAGAGAGAGAGAGAGAGAGAGAGAATTGCTCTGCAGACAACTGTACTCTTGTAGTCTCTTGAGCCATTGCAATAGGACACAACATTCTTAGCACATCAGTAGTGTTAGCTAAGACTACTCTTGGTAGCACAAGAGTCAAATAACACAATGTCTAGAAATAAAAGTCTTTGGGAAAAACTCCTATATAGCAGCACATCTTTTTTAAAGTGTTTTTGTGCTGGTGTTGCATGTTCCATATGAGGTCAGATCACATGATCCCTGTCCTACCGTGTCCCCTGTAGGCAGGTAGATGGTGCAAGGCGCCTGCTTGTTGAGGAACTTGTTGAAAAGGCGAATGTTTGCGAACGTTCCCCGAGCCATGACAGCATCGTTTCCACGCCGAGAGCCATACGAGTTAAACTCTCGAGGTGTTAGTCTACATGGAGCAGAGAAACAATCATTTATTTCTAATCTTTAAAAACTACATGGTAAGTGACATTCTAGAGAACAACTGGTGAATATCAAAAACGTCTTACCCACGACTGGTCAGGTAGCGAGCAGCAGGACTGCTACGAGCAATGTTTCCGGCTGGAGAGATGTGGTCCGTGGTCACTGAATCCCCCAAATTGAGAAGCACATATGCATCTACAATAGACTTGGGCTTTGGAAGCTCTTTGGTCTAAAATATAAAACAAACAATTTGGCCAAGCTCTAAATGCAAGTCTTGTAATTGTTTTAAACACTTCTGCTAGTTATATGAGCTACACTGCTTCTTTACTTTCATAGTGTAATTGTGTAGTGTGAAACTTGAAACTAATATATGAATTGCTGTTCCTCTGAGACAGTAGTGAGTAGACAGTAGTGAGGAAATTATATTACCAGTCCATCAAAGAAAGGTGGAGACTTGATATAGGTGGACTTAGGGTCCCAGGTGTAGAGCTTGTCAGAGGGAGCATTCAGAGAGTTCCAGCGCTCATTTACGTTCTAAAAAAAAGAGGAAAAAAAAAAAACTTATGATAACAGCCTA